GCAATTTCGTCCACTGCTAACCTAAATCCTATTGCTGCTACTTTAAACACAAACAGAAACACATAAAACACAGGTCATAAAACAATACAATCTTTGTTACACTTGACGAACAAAAAGCTATTGCACTTGACCCTAATGATGGAATGAAATATCCTAATTTTTAATTCTCTAAACTAAATATTGCACATTTATCACAGTTTATTCTAAATCTAAAAAGTGGATGCAATATCCGTTAGCTAATTAAAAATGCGATCTTTCATTTTAATCTATTGCCCCCTATAGGCTATTGCACAGTGCTTAGGTTTTATTGCACATATTTTAGGTGTCATCCTAGGCGCCATATTGATGTACGGTGCTTCGGATGCTGATTTTTTTGAATTAGTTTGGGCGCCATATTGTTACGTTCTAGACCTAATGCGGCGTTATGGTGGGGTTCGCACTAGCTCAGTTAGGAACACTTTTCGTTCAGGGGAGTTCTCAACCCTTGCCACCATCAACCCTAGGGAACGAACAACTAGAAATTTTTGGATCATACAAAACACAAAAAACATAAACAAACACAACATACACCTATGACGAAGGAGCTTGGTTTAGTGCTCCTCCACTATGCCCGCCCATCCTTGACCCTTTAGTCCAATTAACGAAATTTTATATTTAAAAGGGCCCCAAATTCCACACACACTTACATCACGAAAACTTACACCTAATTCCCTCTCTCACAAAGAAAACTTAACACAACATAATTTCTAATAACATAAAATCAAACATAAAAATCATTTATTGACATTTTGAACTTAATCTAAAACATAAAGGTTGAAAAACATGTCAATTTACGAACTCCTAACTCCTTTCTCTCAGTGTGAATCAATTACTTCGATTACCAACACTTTGACTAGGGCATTTTACACTGCCAATTTAGGCCACTTTAGGCAACTACACCTACCTAAGAGAGCTCTATTAGTGGTGACGTATGCGGTTAAATTGCGTCCGCAAAATTATTGAGTTCTTGCTCCACGTAGAAATGTGGTAATCTAGCTCACCAGTAATTAAAAGGGGTTAAAAATCCTCACAAAATATAAATCATTTAAATTCTTAATACTAAACTAACTACAAACATTCACAACTTATTACTAACATATATTTTTGTTTTAATTGTATTTTTTTGTCTTTTTTATAGTTTTTTGTGTCTTATTTTTGTAAAAATTGAATTTAACGTTATCTTTCTCTTATATCATTTCAGGTTTTTCTGATTTGCATAGGGAAACTGACAATTCCATTATTCCAGCATTGGCTCGAATTGGTAAGTATTATATTAATATTCTTTTACCTGGTTTCCAACGATTTAATATATATATTTTCTGGTTTCTTTATTGTAGGGGTTCATTACCAGCGACAGAGCAAATCATCACGGATTACCAGGATTTTTTGTTCCCTCTCCATACGGATTTAAAGGGGATTATTGGCAGGATTTTGGCAACTTTTCAAGGCTGTTTTATGGCTGTTTCCAAATTATCTTCAAAATATTCTTCAAAATGTTCTTCAAAAATTTTATCTGACCTCCTCCTCGCAGATATTTGGGAGGGGTCAGTTTCTTCGTGGTTTGGAGTTTTCTTGATGGCGTTCAACTTTAATAAGACAAATAAAAACAGGACATTGTAGCGACAAAAAAAACAAACACATTGAGCAACATTCTTACATTTGTGCAAACATATGTTTGTCACACAACACCACAATAAACGTTGAAGCAAAAAAATATATAATTTTTTTTTTATTTCATTTTTTTTGTTGATTTTAATTATTTTATGTTGGGACAAAGTCACAACATATGTTTTGTTCATAATTCACTTCATTATTCCATCTTAGACCTTTTTTCAGCATTTTCTTTATTTTTTAAGCACAAGGATAAAATCGACAAAATTGTATAGTCCGTTATCGACATTGTCTGTACAGCACGAAATCAAAAGCGTAACTTTTTTTCTACTATTGTTTTTAATCATCTTAAATGACGTTTAGACTAAATCCACTTGATTTCATACGTAAATTACATAGCGTATGTAGGTGTGTCTGGTTTCTTTTCTAGTAACATGTATTCAGTAAGTTCTAGTTCAGAGAGTAAGCCTTTCATTTAGTAAGATTTAGCAAATAAACAGCTGATTCAAGAAAACATTAGATTTGCGCCAAAATAAACAACAAACAAAGGACGAACACAATTATTTGTATTGCATTTATTATTAAAAATAAAATGAATAATAAAAGAAAAGTTGATCTGGTAAGTTCCCCGGGAACATTTAATCTTCCTGAATCAATACATTGCCCTCTATCTGGAACTTGCCTAAATATATATAAGGAATTAGTTTCTAATTTAATGAAATTTTGCATTACTTACAAATTTTCTTCCATTTTCTGTAATTAATTTCCAATTAAACTTTGCAAATTAAAAAAAATGTTTTAAATAATTTTTGTGTTTGGTCAGAAAACAGCTGATCAGAAAATGGCTGAGTTGCTAAATCTTACTGAATAAAATTCTTTCAGTAAACTCCTGCAACTTTGTTGTTGTTCAACTGTCAAACTTGCTCTCTCACTTGACTCTCTTTTACTGGATTTTTGTGTAAACAGACATTTGGTAACAATTGTTACCAAATATCGAGTTAACAGACAGAGCTTATGTCACCACAATCACGTTCACAAATTCAGTGAATTAGGGTACGTTTAGACTACTAAGTCCACTCGATCTCAAATGTCAATTATATTGCGTATACATCACGTTAATCCTGTTCACAAATCCAGTGGATTACATTTGACGTAAAAGCATGGAATTGACATTTGAGATCGAGTGGATTTCGTAAATCTAAACGCACTTTTACGGGAACTACCAGGATTCTTTTTTGGTGCACGGGGGTTCGTAGACCCCCAAGGTTTCCACAATGAGTAGAACCAGGTCGGTTCATATCTGACTAACCGCAGCGACCTTCATTCCATTTGCCAACCGGGAAGGCGCGTCTAGTATCAGAATGACAAATAAATACTACGTGTGAACGTAGTCATAAGCGATTATATTGTTGCCAAACAAAGTGTTGAAAATTACCATGGTGCCATGGTACAATTATAAAAGGTAACAGCAAATCCCAGCTGATTTAATTCCAACGTAATACTAGTGTCAATATTAATTTGACAAATTATGTTTTTAAAAATCACCCAACGGGAAAATTGGGAACGCATACAATTTGAAATTGTTCTTCATTAAATATGTTCCCGTATTCAATTTACTCAATCTGCCTGCTGGGAAAGTTTGAGGAACCTAATCTTTCTTCATTGAATAACTCGCAATTCCCTGCATTTTCATATGTGTTACACATATAAGTGGCAATAGCTCAATTATAGGAAGGATGTGGAAGCGACAGAAATATAAATTTGATAGATTTTCATTCATGTTTTTCAAATTTTATTTTGAGGATTCGAAAATATTTCATTTTCAAAATAAATATAATTTATTAGTTTGTTTACATTCTTCTGTCAAATGATGTTGACACTAGTATAACTTACAAAAACAAATTTCCATGTGGTTGTTGTATCGTTTGTTGTACAACAACACTTGCTGTTACCTTCTATTATTATACCATGCCATGGTGCAATAATAAGAGATATAGTACGTTTACATTTAACCAGATTTCGTTAGCCCAGTGGGTTTCAATTGTCATTTCCTTTACATATATGTCAAATAAATCCTCATAAAGTAGGTTAACCCGGTAAAAAAGTTCTAATGTACAAGGAGTTTTATGTTTCAGAACCTAAAAGAATCTACTAATTTTGCATGTTTTGCAAGTTTTTAATCGAAAACCATTCCTGAACTTACAAAACTGGTAAAACATTGAATCAAATGTAAGAGAGCACAAAACAATATGGCGTTCTCTTTGTAAACTTTTTACTCGAGAAATTTGGGCGAGTAAAAATGGTAAACAGGAATGCCTACTTCGGATTGATTTTTATGTTGATTTTGAAGTATTGCCATCTAATTTTGGCATATTTACTAGATTTGAGTTCCCGAACTTTTCAAATTATTTTGTACTCTGAGAGCAATTTTGAAAATTTTCCCTTTTACTAGATTTACTATTAAAATGTACTGGAACAGACCAAAGGTGGTATATCAAAAAAAAAAAAAACTTTTTGTTAATGAACTTTCGAAAGCCAGCTGTTTTATCTAAAGTCTAATGTCAAGAAATTGGACATGGTTTACGTTTTCATAATTGTAGTCAATTCATAATAATGGATTTTGACAACAAACTTGAGCGACAGCTGATATCCAGCTGGTCTCTCTCATGCTTAGCAAAATTACACAATGAATTCAATTAGAAACTACGCACTTTGACAGTTAATCGAATAGTCCAAGGTATAGCCGCATCGGCCCAGCTGTTGGTGCAAATATCCTGTATATCTACCTTGGAATAGCCAGCTGCACCAAATAGACTACCTATTTATTGTGCCATGTCAATTACAATATTTGTATTTTTTAAAAATAACAAAAAGTTTAATACTGTCAAAGTATTGCCAACTGAAATATTTACATAATTACGTGTATAGAATTTGGGTATTTTTTTGTTTTCAATTATTTTAAACCAATGGCAACCATACTCTAAAGTGGCCCCAAAATACAGCACAAAAACAGCTGTCAGACTAACTGTCAAGGAAAAATATACTTGCTTGATTTCACTCTTCATTTCGTGTGTGTTTTGCTTTGCTGCTGTGAAAACAAATTGCACTTGGAAATACTACGAATAACAAATTCCTCAATAATCCTTGAAATTGGAATTTGTTCATTGTTCGCTGGATAAACCGTTAGAACTGCAAAACTATTAGACACGCAATATTGCTGAGAACCTACAAGCAAATAAACTAGTCAATCACATTACAACAAATTCAGTACTTCTAAACAGCAGATCTACGCTACGCTCCTCTACCACCAGCCGGTGAAGTACTTAAGGAGTAGGGTATTTATTTCGATTTGTTTTGCCCATCCCAAAGACGTTGAACACAACTGGTGTGTTGTGTTGTTTTAGAATGAGCCTTCACAGATGGCTGTATCGCAGAGAATATGGCCTAAGGTCAATGCGTGGAGATTTTGACAATGTTATGAATTTGGTGTATGGATCGCTGACAGATTTTGAACATTGGAACGATAAACCAAATCAAACGTCGGACTATGGAGCGGTTTTCAATTTGGAATTTTCACCCAAAGGGTTAATATCATGATATCAGCTACATGAAATAATATTTTTGATACTGAAATGGTCCCTTGTATTTTTCTGTTTATATATTTCCATATATAGTAATGTGTTGGTAGCTGCCTGCGAAAAGAAGTCGATACTGTTTTTTGATACGACAACACAGAGGCAAACATATCACATCAAGGATGCCCATAGTGACAATGTTAATTGTATTAAGTAAGTTGAAATGTTTACAGATTTTCCTGGAATTCAAATAGACCAGATCTATTAACTTCCAAAAAACAAATTTTCCAAAATTACGTTCTCCGGTCTATATTTTGACTACCAAGGCATAGAAAATTCAAAACTCAAATTGAAAAAATATAGGTTTGGTCTACAATTAATATCGGAACAAATTCCAATTAATTCTACCATGACCCAATAATAAGGTAGTCCGATAAGGACAGATGAATTCACCCGAGCTGTCAAAATGCTTTCAATTTTGATTCAATAATATGAAAACTGCATAGCCGTTCTCCATAGGAGAAAGCCTTGGCAGGCCGCAATGGAGAAATTGACAAATAAACCAAAATTAGTTACGAAATATGTAGACGATATACTTTGCATAGTGAAAAGAACAGACATCGACAATACATTAAATACCCTGAACTTCTTTGTGCAACATGTGTAATTTACGCACGAATTGGAAGAAAACCAAAAATTACCTTATCTTGACGTAACAATAATCCGACAAGGCCAAACACTAACAATAGATTGGTACCAAAAGCCCACCGCAGCTAGACGATTAATTAATTTTTACTCTAAGCATCCTAGACGAATAAAAATAATAATATAAGAGTGCTTAATATAAGCGACGAACACCAAGAGAACAAGGAAAGGATACGCCATGTACCATAGAGAACTATTGACGAACTACTAAAAACATCCAAGCACACGAACGAGAATTAGAAAAAGCATACAAAACATTGACTTATTGCGAATTTCGAATATTTATGACAAGAATAATTATCAATTTGCTTTAAAATCTAAGAATAACTATCTATAACCTGTTCAGCAAAACAATACCAAAAATAAAAAGGAAGACAAATGCAATGTGGTATATAAGATAAAATGTAATGGGGACAAATCCAACGTATTCCAAAAGGTATATTTTGGTACAACAAAAACTAAACTTGAGACAAACCTTTAGAGCAAAAAAGGGCGCTTGCACAAAAATTGGTCATACGCCGAATTTTAAAGACGTAGATATATTGACACAAGAAAATAATTATAAACGACGATCCACCCTAGAAATGTTAAACACAACAAATGTACCTAACGATAGGAGAATGAATTATAAGACTGTCACGGACCACTGTCCAAATATTTACTGAAATATAGTTCATAAGCACAAACGAAGAGAAACTTAGCTTAGCATATACGGTGATAAAAATCGTTGCTTATCTCATAACCGTAAGATTTGTGCAATATAATTAAGTTTATATCTCTTTAAAATACTTGTATGTTTGTAGTATTTCGATAAAGATGACTGCCGAAGACAGTCGACATTTTGGATAATATAAAAAAATAAACAAAAAGAAAAACCCATAACCATCGAGTTTTTCAATGGACCTAGAGCCGAACAAAAATCCACAAAAAGCACGCAAACCCTTCTAATTAAAAAGAGATTCGGCCGCCTAGCCGCCAATCCCTAGTACACTTACCAGTTAGATAGCGACTGTATTGTATTCCAGTTGAATCAATCAAACCACCCTTTTGCCACCCTTCACTCTGTCAGTCAAAAGAACAAACTCACTGTTGAACCGGAACAAAGCTGAAATAACAGTTTTTCCTCGATTATTTTAATTTTTAAATAGAAGAAATTTTGAAATTTAAATAGAAGAAAGTCCATATTAGGGTGCCAGTAGAGTTTTCGAAACCCTCTCAAAAATTGTGTTATTTAAAATACAAAGCGGATAAATTTCCAAATGTTTTTGACAGATGGCCTTCAGTGAACATTTGTTTCCTTGATTTTTCCCCTATTTAGCTATACCGAATAAGTTCTTTTTCAATATCTCCTGTATAGATTCCTGGATGAACGTATGTTTGCAACCTGTTCAGATGACACAACTGTTGCACTCTGGGATTTGAGATATCTGAAAAAGAAAGTACGCAGTCTGCATGGACATTCAAATTGGGTGAAAAATATTGAATATTCACATAAGGATAATCTATTGGTAACATCGGGTTTCGATGGTAGCATATTTACCTGGGACATTAATTCACACACCGAACAAGGTCTAATATATCAAAAAGTTTTCCACACAAGCGGTCTAATGCGCTGTCGCATATCACCAGATTGCAGTAAATTAGTAATATGTTCAACTGGTGGTTATCTAATGATAATACATCATTTGGATTTGACCTCATTGCATAAGGACTTAAATGGATTTAGGGTAAGTTTAAAAGAAAAATATATTTTTAAATCTCCTTTAATTGAGGTCTATTACAGCCAAGCATTTATCGTTTAATGCAAATGGGCCATCAATATATACCTCAAGCGGCCAAATTCGATCATGTCTTTTCGAAGAAACAAAAGAAAAATCGTGTCGAATTGGTAACAGATTTTCCTGAAGAAAATGATGCTGAAGTAGTATTAGCTTTGCAGGTATGTTTATTTCGCACATTATTTTACATAACAATTTGTTTATATTGGTTTTTATTTTTCCACTATATCTTTAGATCCATCCTTTAGGACATTCAATATTAAGCCGCAATATTAGCTACGATGAAAAGACTGAATGGTCATGTATACACGACATAAATGAGGAGCCAACAGATATTACGGAACAAGTCCAGGAAGAACATCAAAGTTCAAAACGGAAACGTAAATTAGTATGTGAGAGTGATGATGAATCACAACACAGTGCTGGTGGTGGCATGGGTGCCGGTGATGAAAGTGGCGATTCACCAGATGATCTGCTAATTAGTATAAATCGGCGACAACGTGCTCTAAGATCTCGTCTGCCAGGACGTGGTGGTAAGTTGAAAAATATCAAAAAACTATTCTTTAAAAATCCAAATCTGTGTTGGTACCTTGAAAATTATTTTTTATAATTCCAAGTCTGTGTTGGTCTCTTAAAAAATATTCTTTATAAATCCAAGCGTGTTTGTTCTTTGAAAAAATATTCTTTAAAAAATCCACGCCAGTGTTGGTCCTTGAAAATATATTCTTTAAAAATCCAAGCCTGTGTTGGTGCCTCGAAAAATATTCTTTATAAATCCAAGCCTGTGTTGGTGCTTTGAGAAAATATTATTTAAAAAATACACGCCAGTGTTGGTCCTTGAAAAAATATTCTTTAAAAATCCAAGCCTGTGTTGGTGCTTTGAAAAAATATTCTTTAAAAAATCCACGCCAGTGTTGGTCCTTGAAAAAATATTCTTTAAAAATCCAAGCCTGTGTTGGTGCTTTGAAAAATATTCTTTAAAAAATCCACGCCTGTGTTGGTCCCTTAAAAATATTCTTTAAAAAATCCACGCCTATGTTGGTCCTTGAAAAAATATTGTTTAAAAATCCACCCCTGTGTTGGTCTCTTAAAAAATTTTCTTTAAAAAATCCACGCCTGTGTTGGTGTTTTTAAAAAAAATCCTTTAAAAATCCACGCCTGTGTTGGTCTCTTAAAAAATATTCTTTAAATAATGCACGCCTGGGTTGGTCCATTAAAAAATATTCTTTAAAAAATCCACGTCTGTATTGGTGCCTTGAAAAAGTGGTCTTTAAAAATCCACGCCAGTGTTGGTGCCCTGAAAAAATATTCTTAAAAAAATCCACCCCTGTGTTGTCCCATAAAAAAATATTCTTTTAAAATCAATAATCCCAAACCAGCCCTTAAATAATGTTTACCAAAAATTCATAATTTTTTGTCACATATATATTTTTACAGCTCCGCCACCTCCTCCTCCCACCTTACCGTCATCGTCTTCTTCAAGTTCCTCGAATACCAATTCAACATCAAGTAGACAACCACAATCAACGGCTACAGCTGCAGCATCATCGACCGCTGCAAATCAAACATTTGTTCCAGACATTTGGGCTGCCGAGGTCACAGTTCAAGAACGTGCAATACGTCAAAATCGTGCCCGTAATTCGAATGCCGTTACCGGCTACAATTATGTGTATGCCATAAGCAGTGGCGTATTACCGGCAATAGCTGCCTCAACAACAGCTTCAAATCGCAATGATAGTACAAACAATCGAACCAACGATTCCACATCACGAAGATCGGGTCGTTCATATCGCTCCGATACGACGGCCAATTCAACCGATGGCGGCAGTAGTACATCCAGCAGTGATTCACCGCCATATTTACCACTTGGTCGTATACGTGTACGGCCCCTTATCATACCACTAAAACGTAATACCTACACGAATCGGGAAAGGAAAATCTTTGAAAATCCTAAAAAATTAATGTACTACATTCAGGAGCCGAACAAGGGCAAGGGATTCATTAAGGAGCCAAGTTTTTCAGCTGATGGCCGCATTGTTTGCTCGCCCTATGACAATGGTGTACGACTGTTGGGTTATACCGAAACCAGTTCAGAGTATCCACAACATTATCAAGAAATCGAGACAATCAAACAGAAACCGCGACCCTTGTGTGTGTTGAAGGAGCTGCGATGTCACGACGACAAGGTGCTTAGCACAAAATTTAGTCCCACGGAACCATTGTTGGCAACAGGTTGTAAAAGTGGCAAAGTTGTTTGGTATCATCCGGTTTTGTAAATCAAATTCTGCCGCTCAATCTATTTTTTCGATTATAAATAATCAGCATATTTATTATTTCCTTTTGTTTTTTTTTATCATTCAAACCATTTACATTTTTAAAAATGATATGAAAGAATCGATTTGGAAGAGTTTTTAGGCAAACATAAAATCAAATCAATTTCTATGTATATACAATCGTATTTAACAAATAACATAGTTATTTATTGGCTAACTCTTCCAAAAGTCAAACCCCCACAGAACATAAACATTTTGGATTTTATCTGTAGACTTTAATTATATAAGAATAATAATAATAGTATTAATTTTTAGTAAGGTGAATTTAATTATTATTATTTTTTTCTTTATTTTTGCATTTACCTTAATTATTCTTCCGTTACGTTTGCATATTACTTTGAAAGAATTCAAATATTTGTTTTTGCCAATTATTAGTACACTGTACTGTACAAAATTTGATATGGTCGTCTCTATGTAGCTAATTTACAATTGCCATGCATTACTTTTCGTATATATTTTTGGTGTTATCTGATAAATAATTGAGGTAAATTGCTGTGTGTTTTTTATATTCTAAAATTTCAAATTCTACATATGTATAATTAAAATTTTATAAAACCACTGCTCCCATAAAAAAAAATAAGAATAAGAAGAAAATCTTTTGAAAGTGATTTTCAATATGTCTTATACGATAAGAAGTACATTAATTGCATAATATAACATAACATATAATAAAAAACGTGTTTCGAAATATTAATTGTAACAGTCGTTTTTGTATATAATATATATTGACGCCTCTATATATCGACCCTCTAAAACTTGGTTTCGAAAAATGTTCCAAAATGACCTTAGGATTGATAGAGCAGCACAATGCCGTTCAAATTTGGATTCCTGCTCCTCGTTGGGAGCCATACGGGCATGTTCTGGTATTCACTTCAACGGCAGAAGTGTATCGAACACACGCCGAGGTGTTCTGTAACACACTTTACACCCATTTGAGGTGTATTCTTTACACTTACATTTCCATAGTGAGAGTCGGGTGTATTCCTGTTTTTTCATATAAAAGAAAATCTTTTTTGAAATAAAAAACGCACATTACGATAGATTGATTTGTTATTATTGCGTATAATTTGTTTAAAATCACAAAATGAACATGAAACACCATTAACAACAAATTTTAAATAGATACTAAGGTTTGTCTTAAATTTTCTTCAATTGAATTTCTTGCTTGACACAAACAACTGATTTGAAGTAAGGCCGAAAAAGATAGGGTTACCAAATGTTCCCCTTAAATCAATCAAGAAATTAATGTTATTACAGAGGTTTCATACATATATTTTATGTTGCGAATAAAAAAATATTAAAAAAAAATAATAAAATTGTCGTTAGAATTAATGAAATTACTAAAAAATTACAAAAACAATGTTAAAAACGAATACAGTTTATATTGAATGGCAACACTATTTCTGCAAAGTACCATGTCGACGTTTATTTTTGTCGCAGTTCAAAATTTCAATTCACGTGAGAAGCAGAACAGGAGGTAGCTTCTGAGGTGAAGTGTATGTGTAAAGTGAAAAGAACACGCCGTGAATTCCAGAACATACCCGATAATCTTAAATGTACGTTTTCAGCAAGTCAGTAGAGAACAACGAGCCCATTCAAATTTTGATTCGTGCCCCACATCGGTTACCATAATTTTAAATATTAAGCTAAGCTGAGCCTTGATTTGACTGATGGTATATTGGTAACTTTTCCGAAATTGATTGATGGGGGGTCGATAGAGCACGAGTTCATCGCGATTTGTATTCGTACAAGTGGGCATAAAATAAATGTAGGACGAGGTTAGGGTCGCACATTGGATGTGAACAAGTATTTGAGGATATGTTCAATTTTTTAATTTGTGCCTTACGTTGGGCGCCATAAAGTTATGTAAAGAGATGAGGGTCATCGCATTTTGTGACATCAAAATTTGAATTTGTGCCATAATATTAAATATAAAGCCAAGCTGAGGGTTGATTTGACTGATGGTATACTGGCAACTTTTCGGAAATTGATTGATAGGGGGTCGATATTGCACGAGTTCAGCACCATTTGTATTCGTAATCCTTGTTACTGGTTATAAAATAAATGTAGGACGAGGTTAGAGTCGCCACATTGAATGCCATGTGACTCACGTTCGGCGCCATTAAGTCAGGTAAGGATCACCTCATTTTGTGTCATCAATATTTGAATTTGTTCCCCAAGAGGTGAGGATCACCGCATTGTGTGCCATCAAAATTTGAATTTGTGCCGTTTGTGACTTACGTTGGGCGCCATGAAGTTAAGTAAAGGGGTGAGGGTCACCGAATTGTGTGCCATCAAAATTTGAATTGGTACCTCACGTTGGGCGCCATAAAGTTAAATATAGAGGTGGTTATGTATAGACGCATATCACGAACTTATTAAAATATGGAATCTGTTGGGCGCCATAAAATAAACACAGGACGAGTTTTACAGCATTGGATGACATTAAATTATGTATAGAGCAAACTATTACGATGCATTGGAAATTGAATGAGTTCATCAGCATTTGTATTCGTACCCACATTGATTATTATTCAATTAAGTGTATAGTGAACAAGGGGTGGCGTGGGGGAAGATGGATACCAAACAACGGCTCTAATTGGCTTTAACATGGCGAAGTCCAGGCTTATCCTGACTGACCTCCCCTCGGTGTCACCTGGGGTAGCTTTTATCATCACCCGCTGCCATGAAACGAGACATGAATTTGGCTGCGAAGACAAAGATGAGCAGACCAAAGACATATTTTACGAGCGCATAGTAACAGCTTCCCTGGTCATGACATTAAAGTTCTGCTATGAGATTTTAATGCAAAAATCGGAAGAAGAAACATCCGACAACGGCATGATGCAGCAAAAAACATGGTAATCGTTTAAAGCCATGTCTGCTTTCGGCATTCCTGCAAAATTAATACGCCTATGTAGGACAACTTTAAGTGGCACAAGGCCAGCCGTTAAAGTCGGAAAGTACCTATCGGAGCCCTTCAATGCCGAACGAGCATTCAGACAAGGTGATAGTTTGTCGTGTCACCTGTTCAACATCCATATGGAAAAGGTCATACGAAACGCATAAGTGAACAGAAATGGCACTCTGTACACCAAACATCACATGTTATTCGCCTACGCCGATGACATCGATATAATGGGTCGTACATTGCGAGCGGTAACAGCCACCTTTGAATTGAGAAGGAGTCGGCCCAAGTTGGTCTGGCAGTAAATGGCGAGAAGACCAAGCTGATGGTACCAACGCGCAAGACGTCCAGTAGACTGGGACCAACTGTGGAACTTGAGAAATACAGCTTCGAGGTTGTTAAAGATTTTATATACTTTGGTACTGCCATAAATAAAACTAATGACATAAGTTTTGAAATTCGGAGAAGGGTGGTGATGGCCAACAGATGGATCAGAAGAAGTTTGCGCAAGCAGATGTTTGAGAGAAAAATTCTCCGAAAGATGTACGGGCCGATCAGCGTCGACGTTGAATATCTGCGTCGAAGAACGAGCTTTACAATCTATACGCGGACATCGACACAGTCAATCGTATTGAGCTGCAGCGACTACGGTGGCTAGTTCATGTTGTGCGAATGAATGAGAATGCCTCAGCTCACGCAGAAGGGGAAAGCCACGAATTAGATGGAAAGACCAAGTAGAAGACAACATCTCGGAACATAGTCTTCCACATCGACAAATTTTCCGAAGTTGACTGTGGGTAGGTCCATTAAAATGTTGAATTCATGCCTCACGTTGGGCGCCATAAAGTTAAATATAGAGGTGAGGGCAACTGCATTGTTTGCCATTAAATAAGGTAAAGGGGCAGATTACGATTTTTTTTTTTTCAAATTTGGAATCATGCCCCATTGGTCGCCATTAAGATTAAAATGAAGCTGACGATCTCGTAACAAGTTTGAAACCGACTGTTTTGGAACGGAGCCTTGTTTGTACCTGAGCGCCTGAATGCGTATTAGGTTTAGGTCGACGTCATGTCCTCCAACCCATAAAGTTAAATATAGAGGTGAAAGTATAGGCGTAAATTACGAGCCCATTAAAGTTTGGATTCGTGCCTTTCGTTAAGCGCCCAACATTAAATATGAAACTGAGAGTCACGTAACAAGTTCTTGAAACCGACTGTGTTCGAACGGAGCCTTGTCGATAACTGAGAGCCTGAATGAGTATTGGGTTTAGGTCGACGTCACGTCCTCCAATTCTACCAACACCTATGAATTCAGAAACGTTTCAAACCCCATTAAAGTGGAAACTGCAGGATGTGCCTCAACTTCAGCCGACAATAGGATGCTTCTGAGGCAAAACAGCTACTGAGGGGAAGAAGTCACGACTGTATTGGAACGGAGCCTTCTTGATACCTTAGCGCCTGAATGAGCATTAGTTTTAGGTCGACGTCATGTCCTCCAACCCATAAAGTTAGCCCATTGAAATTTGGATTCGTGCCTTACGTTGGGCGCCATTAAATTAAAACATATCAATTCGGAAACATTTAAAACCCATTAAAGTGGAAACTGCAGGATGTGTGTCAACTTCAGCCATCAATAGGATGCTTCTGAGGCAAACAGCTACTGAGGGGATTATTTTTGATAGGAGAAGTAACGAGTGAGTGTTAGAAAGACACTTCAGATTCCTTGCAGTCGGTCCCAGCACTCAAAAGTTCCATATCAAAACAAGCATTTGATAGAAAGACATGTACCATGAGGTCGACAAAGGAGCAACAATCGAGAGCAATGAAAACTTTGCAGATAAAAACAACTCAGCCTTCGGAAGACAGCAGGGAGACAAAATTTGGATCTTTTAACACGTCTTTACACGTCCTTCAATGACTGAGAAAATTCGGCGGATGATCCCATCATTGACAAGGCAGCAACCAGATTATTACAGAAGGTTGACTACAACAATACATACCTTTGCTTAATGTCCTCCTCCCCCGGAAATAAATGAGTACTCATATATAGGCAATTTTGTTGTTGTACTATTTATTTTTTTATATTTATTTATTTGTAATGATTCTGTAGATATTCTGCTTGATGATATTCCATTTCGAGCGATTAATCAATTTGAGAAAAGGGGGAAAAACAATAAAAAATCAATGTGTGGATCTTGAGTTTGGTGTGTTGGGTTTCTTTTTCGTTTCTTTTATGTTTGTTTTATATTTGAACAACGAATAAAAACTTACGATTATAAAATAAGAATAAAGATTGTGTCAAATAAATCAAAAGGGAAACATATTAACGTCGATAGTGCATGAGGGGAAAATATTTATAAACAATATATATAATAGGTGGCAAAAAATTATAGTTAATAGATAGTGTGTAAATAGAAAAGATGAAATAGTGTGTCATTATTTTTTATATGTATATATAGAAAATTTAAATATATATATATATATTAAGTTGTTGGTATATTTCTCTGTTGTGAGGGGCGGATACATCAACATTCATTGTATCCCATTATATGTATATTTTGAGGTTAATTATTTAAAAAAATAAGAAATAAGACTAATAAAAGACAATGAAAAAAGAAAGGTCATAATTATTTAATAATTATCGTATAGAGTAAACTACTGCTGATGGTTGGTTTTTTTTTGTTTTCTGTTCTATTTCTTATTCGTATTCTAAAATTAGATTTTGTTTTCAATAATAATTGGTATAGCCACTCCATTGACCATAACCGCTGTAGCCGGTATTGTACTGCCAATGATTATAGTAACTGTCATACGATGATTGTTGTTGGGGATATGAACCGCTATTTTGCTGGCCATAATATGCTGCTGAACTATTAGAGCCATAATAATTACCCGATGCTCCCGAGGAACCATTATTATAACCTGACTGTGCTGAACTGGATGCTGCTGAGGCATCTTTATGACCCGCTGATTTTCGACTTGGACTTGATTCGCTGCAATAAAAAAAGAGAAACAGAAAAATTATAGAGGAGTAGATTAAGTAATTTATAAAAATAAGTTTTTATAAAAGAGAAAAGCGAGCGGAACAAGCAATTGTCGCTTTCGAAAAATTAACTAGCAGTTTTCATGGGAGAAAAATTAAAAAGTGGGGTTTTTTGGGACTTCGTGACTGAGGAAGGAATTACCTTAAGGATCAATTCTTAACTAACCCCTACATTCGGGTTTAAATTTTTGGTTTCAAAGAAAATGTTCACTTGTGTGATTATGGCGCCCAATGTTGGGCTCAACGAGAAAAAGTAGTTTTCTTGGGGGAAAATGATAAAAAGTGGGATGCTTTGGACTTAAGGACAAAGGCAAATTTCTTAAGCGTCAATTCTGAACTGGCCCTAAATTTTTTAATTTTTTTTTTTTTTATGGGAACCTAGTTTCCACAAGGCCAAGATCTGTTCCAGAAACCCCTATACACGGTTTTTCACTTTTTGGTTTCAACAAAATTTTACGGAAATCTTCACTTGACCTTAACTCGTAATTATGGCGCCCAACGTTGGGCTCTACAAAAAAAATAGTAGTTTTCTTGAGGGAAAAACCTAGACGTTACAAGGCAATGATCGATTCCAGAAACGGTTTTTCTTTGTTGGTTTCAACAAAATTTTTCGGAAATCTTCACTTATACTTTACTCGTGATTATGACGCCCAACGGAAAAAAGTGGGATGTTTTGGAATTAACGACAAATGATAATTCCTTAAGCATCAATTCTGAACTGACACTACATTTATTTATTTTTTTTTCATTTTATTTTTACGAATGGGAACCCAGCCACAAAGCCAAGATCGGGATTTCATTAAGGGTTTTTCATTGTTGGTTTCAAAAAAAAAAATTAAAATTTACGGAAACCTCAACTAGTTCTACACATATGATTATGGCGCCCAACGTTGTACACGAATCCAAATTTTAAAAGGACATTCATTCGATTTCAGAAAAATTATCAATGAACCAATATAACTCGGTCTAACATACACGGCCTATATTTAATTGATGGCGCCCAACGTAGGGAACGAACACAAGGTTAAAACAAGCAGTGACCAACCGTAAACCAACATATTAACTGTGCCTCTATTTTATTTTTGTCGCCCAACGTGGGGAGAGAATTTTAAAATGGTTCATGTTATATTGGTCTTTATTCAATTCCCGGAACATTGACATTACAGAGTAACAGCTCGGTCTATATTTAATTTTATGGCGCCCAACGTGTGGCATGAACTTAAGCGTTAAATAGGTCGTGGCCAACCGACTGAGCTATTACATAAATATTTGTACTATAAAGCTCGGCCTACATTTAACATTATAGCGCTCATCGTGGGACACGAACTCAAATGTTTATGATTATGGCGCCCAAAATTGGTAACGAGAATATATTTTTATTAAAGGGTGTCAAACTACATTTTATTTGGCTTGCGTTGTATCGATTTGTATTCGACTTCGATAACACTGTCATAGCAGCATATCAACTGTACCTATATTTCATTTTTGGAGCCCAACGTGGGGTGAGAACTTTAATTTTACATGGGTCGTGCTATTTGGGAAAAAATTATCCATCTCCACTTATTCAATTAGTATTTGATAAGTACTTAAGGATCGAAGTTCCACATTTTTTTGACTCCAGAGTCCCTTTTTTCAAAGCTGATTTTTGTTGTAGAGTTAGATATACGTGGAACCTTCTGGCAACATTTGCCTTGCTCTGATTAGTCAAATAAATGTGTCTCGAGTTACAATTTTCGAAATTTTAATTCGGGAATATATTTTTATATTTTACTTACCGTTTCTTTTTAGCTTCATTGGCTTTATTCAAAGCCAGCTGTAACGCACGCTGAGCTTCCTGCAAACCCTTCGCCGTACTCCCAAAATCTTCCAAAAATTCAACTTTACGCTGGGCAAACAGAACCTTCTGTTCGGGCTCGATATTTTCACGTGCCATAAATTTATCCATTATCAGGACAACTTCATCTTCATCCACGACCGGTCGTTGCAATGCCAAATCGATCATTTGTAAGGCCACTCGTGTATTGGCATTATCTTTTTCCAGCGCTTGGCGTAGGACCTTCAATCCCGCCTCTAAATCATGACAGATTTTATTTAAAAATCTGGCATATTTTATAGCCAAACTACCGGCAATATTTTTATTTTTCGCCGTTGCAATATAGTGTTCATATAGGGTTTTGCATTTTTCATTATCACCGCGACGACGTTCTATATTAATACGCCTATAGGCCACCTGCAATAGGTTGGGTACCCGGCTTTCCAAATTCACTAGAATTTCGGCAGCTTTATCGAAATTCGATTGACATTCTTCGAAGGCAGACCACATCAGATGGAGGCTAGGTTTGTCGGGATGATGAATTTCACATGCCCGTCGAAAGACATCACTTAATATGGCCGGTATACCCGGTTCGTGTAATATCGTCTCCAAGTAGCGTATCATTTTCAGCCAAAATTCATCGTATAAAGCACAGGCAATCAGACAACGTTCAAATAAAACCAATATCCGTTTACGATCACCTTTTTCAATTTCAAAATCTAGATACTCTTTCCAGTTTTTCAATTGACACCTTTCCAAGGGCTTAACATGGAAATAGGGTCTTTTAATGCCTTCTTCAAAGGTCCAGCGGGACGTGACCGCAGCCACGGTACTTTTGTGTAATTTACGTCTTATCGATATGACTTTATCTTTTATTGAGGAAATTTCCTCCTCAGTTAAGGTGGACAAATCACTGAGATCTTCAGATGATTTCTTTTCTTCGGTGACAGTGTCGCCGCTGCTGGTTGCAGCATCCACAGCCATGGGTTCCACCGAACTATTTTCTGTATCTTTAGTCGTTGATGGTTCATCTTTAGTGTCTTTGTCTCGGGATGCCGACTCGTGGTCTTTATCTTTTGAACTACCACGACGAGATTTTGATTTGGACGAAGATTTTGATGAAGCTTCACGTAATTCTGTGCGAATTTTTACGATTTCTTCAGGTTTAATGGTACTTGTAAGGGAGTGTTGTATTATTAAATCTTGGAAACTAAAAAAAAGGAAAAAACAATTATTGTTGATATTTAAATTTGAGAGTTTTTCTACTTACTTATCGAAATGTCCGCTATACCCTTGCGTGGGTATGGCCAATAAACGGTCATATATGCCAACCATATGTTTATAACGTTTCGCTTCATTTTCCCATTTCAAATAGGCATCCCATAGCTTATCGGAACGAAATTCTAGGCCACAGGCCTGTATAGCACGTTCAAATTGTGATCGTATATAGGCCTCGTCGTCTGCATGTGTACTCTTAACATGTGATAAATAATGTATCCATAAATCCACCGACAAGGGTATTGCCTCCAAACCGCGTTCAAATACCTAAATTTTATTTGATTCGATATTTAAATTGTTGTAAGGTGGAGGAGGGGTGGACATTTTTGTATTGGGGCAAAGGAAGATTTGTGTGTGTGTGTGAAAAGAAACCAGAAAGAAAAAAAAAAGAGATTTTTGATATATGTTTAGTGGGATATGTACTTCATGGATACTTAACTGTTTTGCAACTGTCTTATTTATTTTTTGTTTTCTTTTCGTTTTTTTAAGGATGGGTGGTAGAGTGATTCTACTACAGACAATATGCAATGTTTGTTTGTGTGTGTGTGCGTTCGTGTGTATAGATGAGAGAAGAAAGGAAATTGGAATGAAAGGATAATTTGAGGAAAATCAGAGCTGGGCTGGATGACGGGATTTAATTAGGGGGATTATTTTAATATCGACACATTAATCTTAATATATCAACGAAAATTTTGAATTTTATTCCAAAAACTCAGGATATTGTTTTTTTTTAATATTTTTTTTCTATTTAAAATGTATACGTTTTTCGTTTGTCAAGGTTTAATATTTATATGAGAATGATTGGAACAATAGATTTCCCTTAATATAACACGAAACTATGATACAAAAAAGGAATGCACGAAGTGAACCAGGAAATGTAAAAAATTTAAAGTTAGGCCGGTCTGAATTTTTGTATGGGGTTACGCCACAGTCACATTTTGTACGAAGATTTAATTTTTATTTATTTTTTTTTTTTAATTTTTGGTCAGGAGATATTTTACCCACTGAGAAACGAAAATACTTAAATACAGTTGTAAAGCATGGGCTAACAAATACCGCAAGTTAGGAGGTACCTTTCGATTAAAAAATTTGGAGGATCGATATGCGAATTATGGATCAAATCTGCCAGACAGAACGCCACCACATGTCCAATATTAAGCCTTTGAGGCCTAAAATCTGACTTGAAAAAATATTTGTAAAAATTCACGCCTAAAATTTGTCTTGAAAGAAAAAAATATTTTTAAAAAGAAAACGCCAAAAATTTGATCTGACTTGAAAAAGTATTTGTAAAAAATCCACGACTAAAATCTGACTTGAAAAAAATATTTGTAAAAAATCCAAGCGTAAAATGTGACGTGAAAAAAAATTAAAAAATCTACGCCTAAAATCTGACAAAAAATATTTTTAAAAAGTCCACGCCAATAATTTGACATGAAAAAAATATACAGTGAGTGTAAAAAGTATTTTGCCTCAATAAAAATTTGAAAAAATTCCAATATATACATCTGAAGCCAGCAAACTAAAGATGTAAAATGACTTATGTATGCTGGAGTACATTTGTGGACATATTTAGATCGTATTTCTGCAAGAATCACAGCGAAAGACCTATTGGCCTCGAAGATATCGGCCGAAATATATAATAATCCAAAAATGTTTATCACAAAAAAGTATTTTGCTTTTTATTATTATTTTAGAAAAAATTGTTACATTGAACACGTTTGGTCTTTTTATAGTTACAATTGCGGTTAACCACATACTATAAGCGATTTGACCACGATTCCATTACATCTCGTCATTTTTTCGTGGGTATTTTCTCACATTTACATTCAATACATTCTCCATCAGTATTTCATTTAATATTTGGTATTTTCTCGTCCTAATCTTAAGATGAGAGTATTAAACATAGTCATTGCGGCTCCAAAACATCCCAAATATGTTTAGAATAATAAAGAAGAGGTTTTGCAAAATATAACGCGAGGACAGAACCTTAAAAACTATAAAAACCAAAATCCGACAAACAAATTATTTAAAAAAAAAATTCGCGAAACCCACATTTTTTGACTTCGAAATTTGTATGGTCCAGTAATATTGATTTAGGAACCAATATATGCAATGTAAATACCAATAAGGGGGTCAGATTCAAAGATATGAACAGTTCTAAAGCAATAGTAATAAAAACCAATACATGAAGTTGGGAGAAAACATCATTATTCGTCAAATCCTATTGTCTTTTGAAAAACTGTGGTTGCTGGTGGCGAATACGCATTCTATATTTTATCTCCGATTAACACCATCAGTTGCGAATAAAATGCAGTAGGGAATAAACGGGTCGATGTATTTATTTTCGAAATAAGATGTATTTCTATTGCCAGAAAACCGTCCATATATTTGAATCTGACCTCCTTATCGCTATTTTCATCGTATATTTTGGTTCCTAGATCAGTAAAAATGAACCATAAAGTTTTCGTAGTTAGAAATATGGGGTTTCGCGATATTTTTTTAAATAATTTGTTTGTCGAATTTTGGTTTTAATAGTTTTTAAGGTCCTGTCCTCGCGATATATTTTGTAAAACCTCCTTTTTATTATTCTTAACATATTTGGGATGTTTTGAAGCCCCGACGACTATATTTAATGCTCTGATTTTGAGATTAGGACGAGAAATTACCAAATATTGAATGAAATGTTGCTGCAGAATGTATTGAACGTAAATGTGAGAAAATACTCGCGAAAAAATGCCGTGGTTTATTGGAATCGTTGCCAAATCGCTTATAGTATGTCGTTACCCGCAATGGTAACCACAAAAAGACCAAACGTGTTCTATGTAACAATTTTTTCTAAAATAATAATAAAATGCAAAATACTTTTTTGTTGTAAACATTTTTGAATTGTTATATATTTCGGCCGATATCTTCGAGACCAATAGGTCTTTCGCTGTGATTCTTGCAGAAATACGATCTAAATATGTTCACAAACGTACTCCATTATACATAATTCATTTTACATCTTTAGTTTGCTGGCTTTAGGCGTATAAATTGGAATTTTTTCAAATTTTTATTGAGGCAAAATACTTATTACACTCACTGTACATACATATTTAAAAAATCCGAATCGAAGACTTGGAAAAAAATATTTAAAAAGTATAAGGGCTATCGAAAAGTTGGAAAACTTCTTCACTTCTGGAAGCAATTCCACAAGAAAACATGTTTTCGTTCGGACGTGGATCCCCAGTCATAAGGGTAAAACCAGTAAGGAAAGTAGTAAAGTCGGACGGGGCCGACTATATGATACCCTTCACCACTCTGGGTGAAAATGAAATTAGATCCTTAAAAAATGAATTCTGAAACCGATACTAAAATTTTCATTTGGTCAGATATAGAAGCTATATCTAAATCTGAACCGATTTTCAGGAAACTTAACACACATCATTCTAGACCTAATTCATTACACTGTGCCAAATTTCATACAAATCGAAAGATATATAGGGACTTTGGTGGACCATTTACATTAAATCGGACGAAAATATATATGGGAGATGTAACTAAATCTAAACCGATTTTCAGGAAACTTAGTACACATCATTCTATACCTAATTCATTACGCTGTGCCAAATTTCGTACAAATCGAAAGATATATAGGAACTTTGGTGGACTATTTACATTAAATCGGACGATAATATATCTCGGAGCTATATCTAAATCTGAACCGATTCTTCCCAATTTCAATAGGGTTCCTCGACCTAGGGCCAAATAAGTGACCTATGAGAAATTTCATCCACATCGGATCATAAATGCGACCTGTACTTTGTTCACAAAAATACATGGACGGACGGATATGCATAAATCGACTCAGAAAGTGATTCCATGCATATACCAATTCGACCATATTTTTTCATTATAAATAGTTGATTGTTCCACTGGGCCCACACAGACAAATTCTGCTTCATTATTTATCGTCATTTCAAAATTTGCAATCGTCGAACCATTTTTTCCAAATAGTATCTTATCTCGATGAATCATATATAGTCAAATTTATTTTTAGTGTTATTTTAAGATTATGTTGTGATATATTATAAAACATTGGTATTATTTTCAAATCCAAACACAAAGCACACACACATACATATTACATTGTCTTTGAGTAGTAGACTGGTCTATAGCTGCGAAATCAGCACAAATGCATATAATTATAATTTTTTTTAATATATGAAATATAAACTAACTTATTTGATAACAGCAAATTATAAGAATTTGCCAATACATAATTTCACTTTAAACTCCATTTGTACTTACGCCTGATTTTTTTATAACATTTTTATGTAAATAAAACGTATTTTCTTTTCTTTTTTAATTTAGCACGAACTTGAGAACAAAATAATATTTTAAATTATAACGAAATTTCTTTTTTGAAAATGAAAAAAAAAAATAATAATAATAATAATTAAAAACGTGTAGTTCTATTAGATTCAAAATTGAACAAATGAATTTATAAATGACAAAATTAACGAACACTCGAACGAACACAGTCATCCCCATAAAATAGCACCAACATCCCAGGTGTTATAATATTTGCGCTCACACAAGTGTGTTCATCATTCTTTCACCGAAAATCGAACAGAAAAAAATCAAGTAAATTTAACAAATAAAATTCCGTTCACCTCCTCTTCTCTGGTATTGTTGTTGCTGTTGTTGAAAGTTTATGTTGAATGTTTTCTTTGGGTTTTTTTTCGTTTTTTATTTAACGAATATTTTATTTTTATTAATATATAATAAATTCCATTATGTAAAATACAACGTATTTCAAAAACTGTATTTGATTGTGATCGTAATGTACTCACCGCATTGCAGTTCGCCTTGATACCCTTTCGTTTTTCATAGTCGGCATATTTACGCCAGTAACCATAGCAATAGGGATAGTGTGACAAGAATGCATCATAGGCCTCTCTGGCTGCTTCGGCGTCAGACTATATATATACACACACAGAAACAAATTGTATTTATATATTATTGAACGTGGATACTTTTGAATATTTTGTATTTTGATATACCTCATTGTCTACATATTGTAATAGATAAGTCCAACCAGTGAAATCTGCTGGATCAGTTTTAACAGCACGCCAATATTTATCCAAGTCGGGTAACTTTTTGCGTTCTTTTTCTTTATCGGTTTCCCGTTCCTTATCTTTCTCTTTGTCTTTACTGCTGCTGCTGGAACTACTTCTGTCCTTGTCTTTGTCGCGTTCCTTTTCTCTATGCTTATCTTTGTCCTTGGATTCTGTTTCTAAAATAAAATATAAAAATAGTTGTATATTTTTGATACGATTTGCCAATAATTCAAATATTTCTTCTCTTACCCTCAATTTTTGCCTTCTTTTCTGTGGGTCCTGGCGAATCATTACTTTCACTAGTTGGACTCATGGGATTGTATTGCTCATCTTTGTTAATTGTGGCTGTATCAGTTTCCTCTTTCTCACCACTGCCCTCCTGAGCCTTACGTTTTTTCGCCAAACTTTCACTGGGCGATGGACTACGTTTATCGGCAGCAGCAGCCGGCAATTCGTCTTCCGATATAACCTCAGCATCCGGGGGCAATTCAGCCCGCTGTGGTGCTGGCAATTCTTCGTCTGATACTTCTTCGGCATCATTAATTTCCGGTTTGGTTGGCAGAGGAAGTTCATCTTCCGATATTATTTCTGTGTTTTGTATAGTAGCATCACTAATATCACCACCAGACATGGGAATGTCACTAACAATGGCCGGCTCGGACAAAGAATCCTCTGAATCCATTTTTTCACAATTATCAAGGACGTCATTGTGATTGAGAACCTTTGCTTCAAAGTTTTCCTTTTCCGAATCACCGCCACCCACCGATGGTAAACTGTTGGCATTGTCTCCGGCCAATGAGGCTAGAAGCGAATTTTCTTGGGCATTTTGTTGATTGTCATCGGTATTGGCTTTATCGTTTTCTTGGTTATCAGCCAAATCTTCTGAGGTTTCAGATTGGCCACCTTCGGGGCCAAATGGAAATGAGGAGGATTTTTCATCTAGATTAACATCGGACATTATGATAGCATTTTCTTCACCGGAAACATAATTTGTCTCTTCCTCAACATTTGCTGCAGTTACTTGTTGCTGCTGTTGCAGTTGTGACTGACTCTGTTCGCTATCAAGTATTCCAACACCCTGAGCAGCCTCAGCCATCATCTCGGCAATGAAGTTTGATTGTTGCTGTTCTTCGGTTTGTTGTTGTTGCGGATCCTCTACACGTTCTTCTTCGTGTAATTCAGTTAACTACAATAGCAAATACAAAGAAATGCATTTGTTGTGGTTAATCAATTTAAAAAAATATATGAGTATTTCTAGAACATACACGCCAGATCAGATGGCCCTTGCAAATAATCACATAATTTCTTTATACATTTCTATTTCTCATTGAAAAATAGAAAATAGGTATAAATCCATTATTCATATGCATATGGAACAACGCCACATATGCATGAAACTAAATGCAAAAGTTTTCATCATTTAAAACTTTTTCAAGATTCTTATCAATTACCAACCAACAATAATATCGGTTGGGTTATCATTACTTTACATTTACCTCTTCTTGTTCCCGTTGAGATTTTCTTGTACGTCTGGTGGCACGAGCAGGTGATTGTGTATGTGCTGCGGCGGCTGTTGTTGTTGCGGACGCAAGTCTGCCAGAACGTGTTCGACGTCCTTAAAACAAAAACCCACAAAATGCAAAATAAATACAATTATTACAACACTATGTATATATAGTTGTCCAATATATACGTTAAGACAGTTCCAGTAGTTACACACAAAAAGCTATCATCTCACGTTGTTTGTACAAAGCAAAGGCACAGTGTCACACACAATACATGTGTGTATGTGCGTGCTGAGATTCTGTCATGGGTTTTTTCCATCCACAAAATTCCATAGGAATTTTTGCACAACCCCAAGCTATTATCTCTTTGGATAACTTGTGGACCAGTTTCTCGGTGGAAAGGAATACAAACTTACCAGAATTTTCATTTTCCTGTAGAACGTTTCCTTCTTCAGCAGACGCCATTTTTATGCAATATCAATATCGACTCGGCGTGTTTGACAATTTGTGTCAAACTTTATTTGACAACACTAAATAGTAGTGATGAGCAATAATAATGTCATTGGCAACCATTCAAATCTATTGGGTGTTTTGGTAATCGAATACTTTAAATAACAACTCGAATACAATATTGGTCTGTTCCCGTACAGCAAGAATTTACTATTTTTTTACAATTTAGGAGAAACACATACGAGGATTCAGGTCTGCCCTGTTAAGTTGGCTTCAATTTATAAAGGAATACCAGAGACAATATTGAATTTGGACGCCGTTTTCCTTTATTCTTTTACAATAAAAGAAGCCAACTTAACATGCCAAACTTGAAAGTCCTCTTATGTGTTTCCCTCTTACAGCCTTACCTAAAATTCAACTAGCTCGTTCGACGTTTTTCACCACAAAAGTAGAACACATGTACTTATATGAATGTTACCGAAATACGTCGAACGTACAAAATTTCAATTTTGACAGTACGTATTTTTAATTTTTTTCCTTTGTTGAAAATAAAAACAAAACATTCAGGAAATTTGAAATTTCGAATGGAAACTAAAAATATGTGGATTAATTTAATAAATTTTCAATTTTGTTTTGCGGTTTGTATTATTTGCTTGAAGATATGGATTCGACGTATTTGGGTAATACGGCCAGTTGAGGAATGTATGCCCAATGATTGGAACCTCAACATACCGTGTCCCGTGCACAAAAAGGAGACAAGACGATATGTGACAACTATAGAGGAATTAGTCTTCTTCCCATTGCATATAAAGTGCTGTACAGCGTGCTGTGTAAGCCAATTATTGGACCATTCCAATGCGGCTTTAGACCTGGCAAATCCACTATTGACTAGATTTTCACTCTGCGCCAAATCCTATAAAAGACCCACGAAAAACACATCGACAGTCCACCATTCGTGGACTCTAAAACCGGATTCGACAGCCCTATCCGTTCAGAGGTATTTAAAGCCATGTCTGCTTTCGGCATTCCTGCAAAATTAAGGAGAAATTACATAAGAGGACTTCAGGATTGGCATGTCAAATTGGCTTATTGCAAAAGAATAAAGAAGAATGGCGTTCAAATTCAACTTTGACTCTGATTTTCCTTTATAAATTGACATTTCGTACAAAGCCAACATAACAGACCAGGCCTGAATGCTCGTATGTGTTCCCCCCCTTTAATACGAATATGCAGGATAAGTAGCACAACGTGAACAGAAATGGAACTCTGTACACCAAAAACAACACATGCTAACCCCCTAAGCCGACGAAATCGATATAATGCGTCGAACATTGCGAGCGTTAAAGGGCTAAGCAGAATGCTCGCGTTGAGCCATCCGTCGCGTTATGTGTTATCGAAAATACAACAACCACAAGGAAACGATAACACAAACGCTCGACGTTGTTGTGCGCTGCGCTTCGGAGTTAAATATATTGTAACTTTTTGCGTGCGTTAACGCGATAACAAAAAACGCCCAACGCGAACATTCTGTTTAGACCTTAACTGGGTCTGGCAGTAAATGGCGAGAAGATCAAGCTGATCGTATCAACGCGCAATACGTCCAGTAGACTCGGACCAACTGTGGAACTTGAAAACTACAGCTTCGAGGAAGTTAACGATTTTATATATCTTGGTACCGCCATACATAAACCTACTCACATCAGTTTTGAAATTTGTGAGCTGATGGTAGATGGAAAGACCAAGTAGAAAACAACATCTCGGAACATGGTCTTTCCAATTGGAGGAGGTGCGCACAAGACCGACGGGCTTGGAAATCTGTTTTAAGCTTGGCTTATGGAACAACCGTTCTGCAACAAGCCAGCTATGGAAATAAAGTAATTGTAATTTATTAGTTGCTATAGCCAACCTTGAATAATTGTACCATGGTGTTTACCCCAAAATATGTTTCACGCGCCTTAAAAGTCATGCCCATTTAAATTGGTCTACTGCAAATGGTTATGCGCACCAATAAATTATTGACCAGTGTTGGCAACGCGAGTACTCAATTTACATTTAAACTGTCAATGAAAAATTTAGGGTTGCTTGTCTATTGTGGAGAGAAAAAAATTTACAAAATACACTTTATTGACAAAAACTATGAAAAAGAAACAATAAATTTAACACAAAATAACAAAAACAAATTGTGAGGCACAATGTTGTTGTTTCAATGAAATGGTCTAAACAATAAAATCCATCGATTTTTATTCCAACGACACCACCACCAGCAGTTTCCATACAAAAATATTCGCTGCTGCTCTTGAGTATATGAGACGGAATTACAATGGAACGTTTTGCTATTAAAATTGATCGGAAGCTAAAGGCAAATTTATATAAAATTTGCCGATTATGTGGTATGGATTATCCCGATATGGTGCCCATATTGACCGATGATAAGCCAGAGAATGCAAAGGACGATGAAGGCGTTGATGTCGATGCCGAACCGGAGATGTCCCAGAAAATAAATGTACTTATTGGATTACTGGTAGGTAGTAGTAGCAGCAGGGGGCGGGAGGAATATGCGATGAAGATGATGAGGATGTTGTTGTTGCAATTTGTGCAGCAACATTGAAGTTTGTTGTTATGTGTTATTAGAGAGAAAGAGAGTCAAGCGAGCGAAGGGAGTGGAATGGGGAGTGTATTTTGCTATTGTTGTTGGTGTTGTTGTATTTTCTGCATTACTATCCATCCATACGTTTTTTTGCAGATAACAAAGGACGATCGTATGCCACAGACCATGTGTACATTGTGTGTTGACAAAGTTAACGATTTCTATGAGTTCCGTGAGATGTGTTATGCCACTTATGAACAGACACGCAAATTGTTGGGTCTTAAAAATATAGTCAAGAAGCCAGTTGTTGAACCCAAACCAAAAGTTGAGGTGAAGGAGGAACCACCAGTGCTGCCATCGCCAGTTCCCAATAAATTATTGAATCGTAAGCGGAAAGCTGATGTTGAAATAACACAACCACCGGTGGTTGTACCAGCTCCACCGGTAGTTAGCAATAAGAAACTGCGTTTAGCGGCAACACCACTCAAAGAGGCAGCTACGAAAAAAGCTAAACTGAAATCGTCGTCATCAAAGGAAGAAGAAAAGGATGTTGCAGTTAAAGAAGAATGGTGAGTATTTATTTTTTATTGATGTCGTATTTTTAATTAAATAAATGTTTCTTTTACGAAACATTCTTCCAACATTTTAGACAGAGTTAAAAAAACGTTGTAGGGACTTGGATTTTTGTAAATAGTAACTAAACAAAGATTAACGCTCGAAATTTTAGCGTCAGTTTGAACAAATTTGAAATTTCAGTTCCCAACTTTTTAAAGTCTCCATTATGAGGTGCGCATTCAATATATCTTAAATCGATTGCGGCGAAAATTGAATATCAATCTTAAGAGGTTTGAAAATTTGGCTAGGTCCTTGAAAATGAAAAAAAAAAACAACACAAATTACCTTTATACGGAGGCTATGAAGTAACATAAAATAATATTGGAAATGTTCAGTTAAGAATTTGTTTACCCACCGACATCCTGGAAAGCCAAATTACAGTCTCTTCGTAATGCCAAAATATAGTCATTTCGGTTCGAAAATTCGTCTATACCATTAAAGAGGCTGGACTTCAACACCAATACCGAAAGATCGAACGATATCGATTCGATTTTTGTTATTTACAATAATTTTGAATATTTACGATAACGTTTTCTGTTTTAAAATAACACCCAAGATCCTAACCCACTCAAGATCCTAAGCGCATAATTTAAGTAAATTTGCTGTAATTTTGAATTCTGTATTCTTGGTGGGATTTAATTTAATTTGGTTTAAGTTATTTGCGCTTAGGAAAGAGCATGTTGGGTAACCAGGACAAAAAGGCTTGAACGAGAAATGTCAAATACATTTAAAATTGCGTTCTAACAGAACGATTTATAGAAGGATATTCTGTTCCACCATATGTAATATGAGCTATGAAAATTAAATACCTATGAATCCATTTAAATTGAAAACTTAATAATAATTTAAAGGGAAAGCCAAAAATATTTAATGCAATAATAACTTCCGAATATTGTTTTAATTTCAATATCCACAAGTAGTCGTGAAGTAATTACCCGAAACATGAAACATATGAAGGAAAAAGAAGCCAAGGAAGCTATCAAAGAAGATGCCAAGAAGGATACAATTGTCAAGGAAGAAAGGTAGGCTTAATTTTTTATAAGCGACTAAAGAACATTTCTGCAAAAGGTTTTTAGGATTTTTATTTGAGGTCTTAGTTCATATTTTCGTTTGCATTTAGAGTAGGGTATATAGATCGAAGAGGCGATTTATCTTATATGTAACCAATTTTTCGAATTTTATTATATAGCCGTGAAGTAATTACCCGAAAAATGAAACTTCTGAAGGAGAAAGAAGCAAAGGAAACGGTTAAAGAAGAAACAAAGGATACAGCTGTTAAAGAAGAAAGGTATATGCAACTTCCTATTTATTGTATTTTTATTGTTTAATATATAATTAATTCAGTTGATATTTAGCTGGGCATGAGATTTTGGATCATAGGGAACAAAGTTTTGTATATCTTCTACACAAACGAGCTTTAAATAACCGACCTGATTTTTCAGAAATTGTAGAAGCTTTGCTAGGGATATGTTTAGTTCGAACTGGTTCGATATTCTATGGGTAACTAACTTATTCGCAAACAAATATATTAATGGACCATGTTTTGATATGTTTTCCGTATACAGATTTCGCAAAACTTTAGATATTTTGACGGGTAAAAGTATGAAATGAGACATTTATGTTGAAAGAGGTTCAAGTCCATTTTAGGTTCTCCCAAAAAATTTTCCAGGAAAGTTTGCATGTTTAAGGGCACAAGGCTACAAACAAAATTAATACCACTTAACAATATTTTTGAAATAAATCAAACCCAAACGTTTGAATATATTAATATTTAAAAAAAGGACTTAAATTTTCAAAGGCATTGGGGACACCTTCTTGCAAAAATTGGCAATGTTGGTCCTAATTTGGGTATTTTGTAGTTTGAGAAGTTGAGCCCCCGAATTTTATAATTTTTTT